AGATATGTGTATAATCATGCCTGTGTGTGCACAGAGAGCAAGAGCGAGCTTGCCATTCATATTCTCTGCGAAGTTAATATCCATACCCAACTGAAGTAGCCAAAAGCAGTCCCAAGATCCTATCTGCTCCTTAATTAGAAACTTGCTGCCTGTTTTACATGAAACCAAGCACCCACACCCTGATAATCTCTCTAGTCATGTCAGGCACATGAGAATGCAAGTCTGGCCAAGCAATATCTGGGGGAGAAAACTGACAAGAGAGACAGCTGGCCAGCTGGCTGGCCAGTCAAAGCATGCTCTGAATTCCCTGCCAGATTTTACCGTCAATTCTTGGCAAGGGCTCAATATTCTTTTCTCAGCTCTGTGTTGTTTTCTTGGCAACCTTCTGTAAAACAAAGGTGACTTCCTACGCGGACATGGTACTGCAAGGGCAGAGATGGTACTAGTTTGCCCAGGTAGCTGTTAGGCTCTTTCTGGTGCAAATGGAGGTGGTTCCCGGAGGGTGTAGCTCCCTATGCCTGCTTCCAAACCTGGAGTGTGTTGTCCAATCTACAGATTCCAAACCCAGTTGCTTGTTCTGGGAAGCAACATAAGGACTGCATATCTGCCGTGGGACAGCCTTTTCGAAGTAGGAGGTCCAAAGTTGAATTTTTTGGCCTCTCTAAAAGTTAACATTCAAAGGGTCTTGGGAAGCAGCTTATGGAAAAGACCTGCCTGTTCCAAGCTGGATCTGGCTAAGTGACATTAACGACAAGGCCCATCACTCCCAGCTGACATACTGAGCTGATTAGACCAAGGCAGCTTTTGATGGCTGAGGGCCATACCATACTTCCCTTCTGGGAAGAGCCCATGCGGTACAGTAGGAGGTGTGATGATGATCATGCCAATGTGGAAGTCTGGAGGTTTTGGTTCTGTTTTCTTATGCTTCCTCCTTTTCAAAGCTCCTCTTTCCTAAGACTACTTTAGGGGTCCTGCTAGAGTTTTAAGCGGGTTCCTGCCTCAAAATATCAGTGAACCAAACCACCAACTTTCAGCAGTTAAAGCAGGGTTTGGGGCCCTCCCTTTCCTACATTTGCAGGATATGTGTATGGCTCTGTCTCTATTTTGTATTCTGGCTGGATGGCTGCTACTGTATCTCCTAGGCTCAACCAGTCTGGAAGCTTTTGAACTGCCGAAGAAGTCAAAATGGTGCTCTTCCACCTTTGAGGCCGAACCCTTTGGCAGCCCCTTTGTAGCTCAAGTCCCAAAGGCACCAAGCTATCTTGTCTGATTTCCTGCAAAGATGCTCAGCCCTTCCTGAAGCCAGCTGGGGATCTGCCTCGCCTGCCTGTATTCTCCCGGGAGGGACTGGACTTTGATAATTCGGTATCCCTGAAACCACATCGGATTTCATATCCTCATTAAGCTTTTACTGAACCATTAGTTGGCGTCTGGTGGTAGAGAAACCAGTCTGTCTTTTCTCTCCTGTTTATCTGATGCCCTCTGATGTGCATTTGATTATCTCTTCCTTCCTTCCTTCCTTCCTTCCTTCCTTCCTTTCTTTCTTTCTTTCTTTCACAATCTTTTCCTTTCATATTCTCCAGTCATTCCACAAAGTTGGCTGCTGGTGTTTCTTGAAAGGTGGCAGGGGACAGGGAAGCGAGGAAGTAAGCCAGCAAACAAAGATGGGAACTTCCCAGATATTTGGCCTAGTTAGAAATCTGCAGGATGCCTGTAGCCAACTGCA